AACCTGCCAGCCTCTCAGGCCATGAGCGCAGTTGGCGTGGCCCGTGGGACCCAGCCTTCTGGGGCGTCCAGCCTCTCGCACAGGGCACAGCACCGACCCATGGCAGCCGCTCCTGCCCGGTGCCCCTGGGGCAAAGCACACATCCGCCCACCCACGTGGCAGAGCCCCCAGCCCCAGAACCAGGCAGCTGGGGAGGATGCATTTCCTTGAAACCTTGAGGCCACAGCAGGCTCTGTTCCCGGTGCTGGGGATGTCCCCATGGAGGCCCAGACATGGAGGCTCCCCTTTGTCATGCTGCACCCTCTGCTCGGAAAGCGGCTGACTGGGTCCCCACGTAGGAACCTCCTTGATCAAAAAGTATATGTCAGGCCGGGCGCGGTGGCTCACGCCTGTAATCCTAGCACTCTGGGAGGCTGAGGCGGGCGGATTGTTTTGAGCTCAGGAGTTCGAGACCACTGAGCAAGAGCGAGACCCCATCTCTACTAAAAATAGAAAGAAATTGGCCAAACAACTAAAAACAGAAAAATTAGCCGGGCATGGTGGTGCATGCCTGTAGTCCCAGCTACCTGGGAGGCTGAGGCAGGAGGATCCCTTGAGACCAGGAGTCTGAGGTTGCTGTGAGCTAGGCTGACGCCACGGCACTCTAGCCCAGGCAAGAGAGTGAGACTCTGTCTCAAAAAAAAAAAAAAAAAAGATGTATATTTCAAAATTGCTAAGAGTAAATTTCAAATGTTCTCACCACAAAAAATAAGTATTTGAGGGAAGGGATATGTTAATTAGCTTGATTTCATCACTCCACATCATACACATACATCATTGCATCACTTGTACCCCATCAGTATATGTCATTTGTCAATTTACAATAAAATAAAAAAAATTGAACTTACATATATAAATGCAAGTCAGAAAAAAAAGTCAATCCTAATAAATTATAATCTTTCCCGGTATTAAACAAACTAAATTTGAGGAGATTCATTTTTTTTCATAAGAAACACAGGGAGGAGTGAAATAGCATTAATAATAACTATCAGTGCTGACCACCAGGAGCCTGGGGGTTCATTTTTTCCTCTACTTTTATGTATGAACATTTTCACAATGAAAGGTTAAAAACAAAGTTTGTGATCCACACAGCTCAAAATCCGAAATCATGATCTCACAGGTGAGTTACAGAAAGGACTGTCCCAGTTTGCATTTTGGTAAATACCATGCTGAGAAAAGCCACACAAGTCACGGAGGCAAACAGGCCACTGTGGCCCGGGGCAGCTGCTCCAGTGTCTCAAGTCGGCGGAGCCTGAAGCGACCCCACCTCCCCACCCCCCATGCTTCTACTTTTCTCCAGGTGAATTCATAAAATGGCCACGCATTTGATTCTCCCCAATGCTCTGACGCAGGTCAAACTTCCCAGTCACCAATTGGATAAATCAGGCCACAAAGCCTGAGACAGAGCAAGGCCCTGCGGCCATCTCAAGGCCCCGTGGCCACCTCGCCAATGCAAACAAAGCCATGTGGCCTCTGGACAAACACAGCAGCTGGGAGAACCCAGTCCTGCTGTTTACACAGAACCTTTCCCCAGAAGCTCAAAGTAATTTAGGGACCTCACTAATTAACTTAATTAAGTCTCTCAAGCCTCCTCCATCCCTCCCTTCCTCCCTGCTGCCTGCAATGCCAAGCAATGCTGGGGGGAGTGGGGCGGCAGGTTCCCCCTGCACACAAACCCACGTGTAAACACAGGGACACTCTCCAGCCGTCCTTCCTGGGCGCTGTTTGGAGAACACTGAACTTTGGAGCATGGACGCTCACTCTGAAAACAGATAAACTCATTAACAATAAACACATTTCCCTTTACCTGGTCCACCCTAAGTCTACAAGAGACAGAGAGACAAAAAGACACCAAGCACTTTCCGTCCCAATGCGTGAGTAAGAGAACATCTGTACACTAATTGTGGACGGTGGGCACGGATGCTGTTACATGCTGCGGCTTTTCACCTGCACTGGAGAAGCCTCCTACCATTGAATCGGGTTACCAAGAAAACTATAAAAGCCTTTTAAGCTGGTGCTAATACGTTTTGCTTTTCTGCCTCTGGAATTTCTGCTCCCACTGATCCACATAAAAGATTCTCAATCTAATTCCTTTAGAAGCAGGAATTTGGAATTATTCCTTCAACATCCTCCTGCTAGCGGGCCAGATGGTCTAGTGTGCAGAGTTCACATTAAAACAGGAGGACAGGTGAGGACAGGTTAGAACAGGAGGACAGGCTAAGATGGGAGGACTCCAACAATCGACCAATCATGGACAATCCGTCTGTCCTAATAATCACAACCCAGTTCAAGACCCTGACCTTCTCCACGCACTGCCCCCAAACACTAAGGAATTGCTGAACCCCTTCAGCGAGAGGTAGTTTTCAAGTTAGGATCTTTGATGGGTAAACTGTGCTCTGAGGGGTCTGGGCCCAAGGTCAGAGGACACAGTTGTCAAGCCGACTCCCCTAAATCTTTTGCTCCCAGTAAAAGCAGCAGTAGGGACCAGGCAATAACCCACAACTTTAGTCTCAGCCCCTCGTTGCTCACGGGGAACCCATCACAGAACCGCAGCTGGAGTGGGAAGGAAGCTGCTCCCCACCCTCTGCTCTTGACCTCGTCAAGGAAAGCAAAGCAAAAATGTTAGCTCGTCCTTTGGAACACAGATGCGAATTTCTAGTTCAGAGCTCTTCTATCAATAGTGATACGTTTAGGACATTTTAAAAGTTTTAAACAACTTTCTGGTACCCGAAGGCTCTCTTCTACAATCCTCTGGGCCAGCAACACCACCAAACAATAATACAGCTGCTTCTTAAAAAGTTTCGTTTCATTTACGCAAAAGAGACTTTAAAAAATTAACTTTTCAGGCTGGGCGCGGTGGCTCACGCCTTTAATCGTAGCACTCTGGGAGGCCGAGGTGGGTGGATCGCTCAAGGTCAGGAGTTCGAGACCAGCCTGAGCAAGAGCGAGACCCCCGTTTTTCTTAAAATAGAAAGAAATTAGCTGGACAACTAAAAATACATAGAAAAAAATTAGCCAGGCACGGTGGCGCATGCCTGTAGTCCCAGCTACTTGGGAGGCTGAAGAAGGATTGCTTGAGCCCAGGAGTTTGAGGTTGCTGTGAGCTAGGCTGACGCCACAGTACTCTAGCCCAGGCAACAAAGTGAGACTCTGTCTCACAAAAAAAAAAAAAATTAAATTTTCGGCCCACAGTCTACTGAAAAACGAATGCTAGGTTAAGTGACATGTGGACTGCACGTGAGCTGAGGGATGAGCCAATTCCATTCATTACACCCTCTGCTCTGAAACCCAGTGTGCTGTAATCAGCAACATAACGTAAGTGCATCTCAGCCCAGACTTCATTTCCTAATGGAAGATATGCACTGTATTACTTTCATTAATCATTTTTAAATCTTCACTTTTGAAAAAAATAATGTATTTTTTTCCAAGCGGCTTCAAAGGAACTCTTAAATGTGTATGAACCTTGCCAGCTGAAGGATACTTTAATCTCTTTGATGAAACAGTAGTTTGTATCATGAAATTAATCTCTCAGTTCTAATAAATGGGGTATGAAGTAGATATCTAAAATGGAATGGAAATTTCTGTGGTTTCTTTCAAGGCCATACCAAATGACCAAACTTGGACTTTTCAGGACAGAGCACAAATTGAAAGAATCTGAAAATAAGTTAATCCATGATTTGCTCTACACTTCTGAGCTGAGAATACTGCAGACATTGTTTCAATGATTAAGTGACTGAAAACAAGCAGGATAACTACACGTTAATGAAATGATCCTGGAGGCGGAAATAGAAGACCTGGTCCTTTCAAGATGTATATCGGAACTGGGGTGGACACATACAAATGTGACAACAAGACTAGAGACATTTATAAAGCGTTGTGCAAGCCCACGCCTGTTGCATTTGCCGACAGTACAAGTGACCCTGCTCTGCGCTTTGTTTAGTTAAGAATACCAGGGAAGATGGCACAGCTGGATAGCTACTGGTATAAGCCTACACTCTAGTGTTCATCTTTAAATTCTAACAGTCCTAGCTGGTTTCACCAGCTTTGGTGCAACCTAGGTCTTCCTCATGAATGTCAGCCACAAAACAAGGGACGAGGAGGTTGGCCGTACTAGGAAGTCATACATTGCATGACATTACACAAATAGCCACTTAGAAGTCAGGTGAATTGTTTCACTTTGGGCAAGCAAGTTTCTTAGCCTCTTTGGGCCTCAGTTTGCTCATCTGTAATGTGGGGATAATAATAGGTCTTTTGCAGAACTGTGAAGATTAAGTACGATTATGTTTCTAAAGTCCTTAGCACGATGCCAGTGTCAAGGCTTCTGAAGCCCATAGGTGAAATACACAGGCTTGGCGTCGTCTAACACCTCGCATAAAGGGAGAGTCACTAGGTAGTATATGTGCTTACAAGTTCCATACATTGCAGTACGGAGGCTTCTTGACCAAGTACTTACGGGAGACAAAGGAAAGAGACATCAGCGGTTTCTGGCCAGCCTATGGTTTGGTGCTCTGGTCCCCATCCCCTCCCCGAGTGGAGCCAGCCAACACGAACCAAAGGGTAATCACTGGTTTCACCAACCAGGTGCAAAAGAAAAGGCGCCAGGCACACGATGGGGACGGCTCCTAAGTCAACCCCCTGGGATCGTCATGCATATTAGTGCCCGGCCAGGGCCAGGTGTGAAAGATCGCAGCCGCCTCTCCAAGGACCGAACCCTCAGCGGAGGCCGCGCGGACGGCAGACCCCCCGAGGAGGAGGTGCCGGCCTCCGTGCGCCACCGGCCCAGGCGGAGAGCTCTCTGGCGTCGCGGGCGCCACTTCATTCAAAAAAGCCACCCCCTTGCGCGCGATCCCCAAGCCCCCGAGGTTCCCGCGCCGCCCTAGCCTGGCCACCTCGGGGAAGGGAGGTGCCCATCGAAGGCAGGCGCCGCGGGCAGGACAGGCGGGGCGCGCCGCGGCACTCACCCAGCGTGGCCACCGTGCCGGCCTCGAAGAGCAGGCAGTCGCCGCGGCCGCGCGCCTCCAGCAGGACGCTGCTCTCCCCCGCCGCCTCCAGGCGCCCGAACAGCCGCAGCCCTTTGCTCAGGGCCATGGGCGCCGGAGGCTGCGGCGGGGACCCGCCGAGTCCGACCCGAGCGCGCCGCCCGCGACGGCTCTCGCGCCCCAACTTCCAGGAGTTTCACTTTGCGCCGACGCTCCCGCCCGCCAGGCTCCTCCCCGGCCGCCTCCCTCTCCTCCTCTTCCCTTTCCTCCTCCCTCCTCCCTCGTTCTCCTCTCCTCCGGGGCAGGTGAGGGCGCCACGCTCCGCCCGGGGCTCCCGGGCTCGGGGCTGGCGCCCGGCCCGGCGGGGAGGGAAGGGCCCCCTGCGGCGAGCGGCCGGGGAGGGAGATTCCGCGCATTCCTCGGCGCGGAGGAGGATGCTCGCGGGGGCCGGCGGGGGCCTGGAGACGCCCCGGTCGCCCGCGGCCTTATATGGGCAGCGCGGCCGGAGAGCCCCGCGCCGCTGCAGACCCCCTCCCGCCGCCCTTTGTCGTCGGCTTCTGCGACCCTGGACGAGCCGCCCTGACTCTGTGCCTCCGTCGCCCTGCAAAGCCGGGGGCGGGAAATACGCGGGCCTGCTTTACACGGCGAGGGCGAGGACTGGGTTACTCCCCAAGGCGCCCAGTGAGCGCGTGGAAAGTGTTGGATAAATGTCGCCGTGTCCTAGCGTTCGACGCGTGAGGGTGTTGTGGTCCACAGTCCCCGCCAGGCAGAGGTGTGGGGCATCAACGGTGTGTTGTCGCGGAGAGAACTGGGGCCCCCGATCCCCGGACCACCCCCCTTACTACATGCCCTCGACTTCTTGAACGCCATGTGCCTCACGTGTCAGATGGTGACCGCACCTCGCCCGCGGCCCCGGGCACACATCTGTGAGTCTCACGTTGGAGGGTGCGGCCTGGCAGCCGGGTAACCGGAGGCACGGCCCGCTTGGCGCTGGGTTCTGGCCCCCAGGCCAGGGTTGGTGGGACCTTGTCTGCAGAGGAGACGGGACGGGGGAGGGTTTCTAGGCCTTGCTTGGCATCACCCTCCGGGGCAGTTTGGAGGTTTAGTTTCCTTCTTTTGTGATGGGTGCGTGTCGATGGCCCCAGAGGCCTCCATCAGGGTATTCCCATCAGGTCCCCAAACTAACCAGGTTGGTCTAACCCCATTCTGCCGCACCGAAACAAGAGACGTCTCTTAGGCTTGTTCCAGAAGGGGCACAGGCTCCAGTGTCAAGCAGGACATTGTGATGGCCTTGCAGACATTCGGCAATGACCAGACATTTGACCCTTGGCGGACGGCCTGTCAGGGGCTGACTCGGGTAATAAAGTCATTGTGAACAACACAACAGAGATCATCTTGGGCCCTCAGCCCCCTTCCTTGCCCACGTCAACTGTGATGTGGTGGGATCCCAGGCATGGTGCTCACAGCAGTCAGGACAGATTCTTTCTCCATGGAAGGGAAATATCATTACCTCATGAGAACAGTGTGCCTATGAAATGAGGCACATTAGCTTCTGGCCCCTTCTTTCCTTTTAAACCCAAAGTTGACTTCTTACAGGAAGCCTTCCTAGAATGCTGAGGTCTCAGATAACAGTGTCTATATACACTCACATTGGTAGACTTCAGTTTTCACTTGCTCATCTGTTGCTTGAGAAGTGTTTTTGTATCTTTTCTCTTAGCCTTGTTTCTCAAATTAAGTAGTAAGGTCTTCGGGAGAGAGGACCAAGTCTTCTATTTATTTTATCTCTCCTCTTTCCTAACTAGCATCACACAAGTTAAACTTCTGCACAGTGGCATGCTATACATAGTTTAGGAATTTTCCTACAGTAGGACGGGCCCCCCACAGAGCAACAGAAGCTCCTTGCTGGCCTCCCATAAACTTGGACGTGCACATTGCAACTTTGGGTCTGCAGGCTAAGCCGAGCTCCTGAAACTAAAGTCTGTTCGATTTCATGCTAATAAATGTTGAGAACAAACTTCCCAGGTGCAGAACAGAGAATCAAACCTTCTTCCACCTGGACATCTGCAAACTGATGCTCCCTTCACTCCCTTCATCTCTTGGCTTATGCAAAATGTTTCCTGGGCCTCACAGGAATGTAACGGGTTAGCTCACCCCCTTCTTTTTTTTTCCTGTAAGCTTTCCCTTTTAAATACTGAAGTTCCCAAATTCCTCTTCGGAAAAACAGTCACAAGTTTGTCTGTAGTTTGTCCCCTTGTGCGTCCTCCAACTTCGGCTTACTGAACCTCCATGGATGGGAGGCTTTGCCTCCGTCACTCACGTGGGTTGTCGGTGGGCAGGCGAGTCTGGTTTGGGGTGTGCTGAGTTGAGATGAGGCAGTTGTCCAGCTGGCAATGGCCGCATGTGAGAGGCCAGACGTGAACACGGCAGCTGGAGGGGGACAGCCAGGAGCGGAGGCGGCTGTCTGAGCAGGGGAGGGGCAGGAGGGCAAGACTAGCCAGAAGCAGCCTGGGAAAGCAGAGAAGCCAAGGGCGTGGCCCGGAGAGCTCTGGGAAACCCCGTGAGGCCACTGGTTTGAGAAGCTCAGGAAGGGCTCCAAGAGTGAGGACTCGGAAAAGGACCGTGGTTTGGTGAGAAGGCAATGGCGACCTCTGCGTGGGCAGTGTTGCTAGAGGGTTTTACAAAAAAGCAGCTGCAAAGAATCAAGGAAGAAATGCAGGCAGCTAAGTATAGGCTGCTGGCTCTAGCAGCCTGGCTGGGAGAAGCACCAGATGAGTAGGATGGGGACAGAGGGGACAGCTGGGACCCTTTAGGGCTGCCTGGCTTGCACATGTGGGAAGGCAGGCAGCGAAGAGCAGAGCACGAGAGCTCTAGAGGTGAGGAAGGAGGGTCCCCGAGGGCAGGTGCTGGGAGGAGGGAGACAGCGATGGGAGGACGGCAGGGAGGCTGCCAAGGGGGTTGGGAGGGGGGTAGCAGGGGGACAGGGCCACAGGGAAAATGGAGAGGGGGAACGGCCCAGAATATTTGCTGTGGCTGAGCCCAGCAGTCACACTCAATGTCCCCGGGTCCTGAGCAGATGACGGGGTTGTAAAGCTAGAGGGGACCTCGGCTGCCCGTCCCTCCCAGCTTTTGTGAGGTGGGGAGAAGGCTTCAGTCCTTTGGGTTGGTGTCCACGACACAGACCCTGAGCTGGGGGCGTGCCTGCAGGAGGTGCACAGAACGGGAGGGAGGGAGGGAAGAGGGTGACGAAGCTGAGCTGCCACGCAGTCCTACAGGCCTGGCTGTCCCCAGGGCCTCTGGAGGGGGTGTCCTGAGTGCATCAACCACTCCTGGCCACAGAGGAGGCATAATCCTGGCGAGGCAGCTCCCTCCTGCCGGGAGCAACACTGCCAGCACTGGGAGGATGAAGACTCCCTCCTGGAGGCAGGGTCTGGAGTGGACATCTGGTCACCACCTGGCCTGACTTTTCCAGCCTGGATCTAGGCCCCTCCTTCTCCCGGCCCTGCTAGCGGCCAGAGGGGTCGTGTCGACGCCATCTCTCAGCTCAGCTCACTCTCCACAGCTGGGGAGGCCCAGGTCTGGGCGCCCCACCTGCAGCTGCTCTCTACTTCGTCCAGCCGGGCAGGCTGCTGTCCGCGTCTCTCTGCACGTGTCCCAGCAAGCCCTGCTTGGGCCTTGGCGTGGGAGGCTGCTCCCCCGATACCACATGGCTGTTGCTCTCGCATCCTTCAGGTCTGTTAAACCATTGTCTTCTAAGTGAGGCCTTCCTGTCCCTATCTAAACGTCCTCCACCACCTGCCCCATTAGGGGCTGAATTGTGTCCCTCCAAATTCACGTGCTGAACTCCCAACCTCAGGACCTCAGAATGTGATGCACTTAGAGATGTGGTCTTTAAAGGGGAGGTTCAGTCTAAAGGACCTCACTCCGGTGGGTCCTGATCCAATATGACTGGTGTCCTTATAAGAAGAGGAAATTTGGGCCGGGCATGGTGGCTCACACCTGTAATCCTAGCACTCTGGGAGGCCAAGGCGGGCGGATCGTTTGAGCTCAGGAGTTCGAAACCAGCCTGAGCAAGAGCGAGACCCCGTCTCTACTAACAATAGAAAGAAATTAATCAGACAACTAAACATATATAGAAAAAAATTAGCCGGGCATGGTGGCGCATGCCTGTAGTCCCAGCTACTCGGGAGGCTGAGGCAGGAGGATCGCTTGAGTCCAGGAGTTTGAGGTTGCTGTGAGCTAAGCTGACCCCACGGCACTCTAGCCCGGGCAAAAGAGTGAGACTCTGTCAAAAAAAAAAAAAAGAGGAAATTTGGACACAGACGTGTGCCCACAGAGGGAGGACCACGTGGAGACAGAGGGACAAGACGGCCGTCCACACGCCCAGGAGAGAGGCCTCAGCGGAAACCAACCCTGCCGACACCTTGGTCTTGGACTTCCAGCTTCCAGAACTGTGAGACAGCAAATTTCTGTTGCTTCAGCTGCCCAGTCCTCGGTGCTCTGTTGTGGCAGCCTGTGCATAGGCTAACACACTCCCAACATGTCACGTGTTTCCCTGTTTATTTCTCTCCTTAGCACTTACCCGGCTCTAACAAACAGCTGACTTACTTATCCCTTGTGTCATCCATCGCTCCTGCCATGGCTCCCGGGCAGGGTTTCCTGCGCTTTGTTCAGTCTTATTTTCCCTGGTGTAGCCCCGGTGCCTGGGACACCGCCTGACCGCAGCAGGTGTCTGGAAGTCCTTGTACCTTCCAGTGCCTGCGGAAGTGGAAAATTCGCAACTTCTTTTGCTCATCCATCGCCGTGATTCTTACTCTGACTGATGGATTGATTGAATAAATATTTACTGAGCATCTGCTATGTGCCCAGCATTGTTCTAGATGCTGGGGATATAGCAGCAAAAAAGCGAACAAAATTCCCTGCCACAGAGAGGAAATCAAACAAAATACATAATGTGCTGACGGCAGCTGCCAGGACGAGGATCGAGACGCGGGGTGCGCAACATTAAGAGGGGCCAGTGCAGCCTCACAGGGAAGTGGCGTTTGAGTTAAGAACTAAAGCGCTCGAGGGGTGAGCCGTGTGGGTATCTGAGCATTCCTGGTGCGGGGAACAAGCGGGCAAAACCCCGGGGAAGGGAGAGGAACCTGGGGCAGCAGGGGAGGTGGCGGAAGAGGAGCCAGGCAAGAAAGGGGGCCCGGCTGTCGGCCA